CATATATTTGCATTGAAAAAGCTAAGCTGATTTTAGAAAACCAATATGATTAAATCATAGGCAAATTTGTGTCGACCACCCCCTTTTTAGAAGGGGCTTTTTTAGCTTTCTTTGTTTCACCAGAATACAGATTATCTATTTGAAATACACGAACTGAATGGACTTCCCATTGAGGTTAGTGTATTCTAGCATTGTAATAAAGGTTATGAAAAGATGTCCGAGCACCAGCTGGCCTTCCTTTGATCCTCTCCATTCTTGTGATGATACATTTTCACACTTAAGATGATTCCCTTCTACCTCAAAGGCTGAGAGCTGCTTTGGTCCTTACAAATATTAACTGCAATCACAATGACCTATCTTTCTGGTTCCAGTCATCTGTTTAATATAGAGTGGAAGGTCAGAACTACATGAAAAGGGCCTGAAAGGCTTTATTTCAGTATACTGTCCCCTGCAGAGCTTCACAAAAAGCTGGCAGACTTGTAGTTCATGCATGCACGCTCCTCAGCACTGCATTGTGTGGTTGTATTAATGGGCTTTTGTAACCTTCCAGGAAAAATTCCCTCACCAAGAGAACAAAACTGTTGTCAGATCTGAACACACATGTGAATATCAACTACAAAAAAAAAAAAAAAGTATATTTAAACAGTAGGGGTACTGTCTTTAGAAAAAAGAATGTCTCAAGTCTTGTGTCTTCACAGGGCTGTGTTTTAAAAGTAATTTTTATCTATTTGCTAGGATGGAGATTTAATAAGAGAGATGGAAACCAACTGTTTAGAGAAGGCAAATTCAGTAACAGACGTCAGTAAGGATTAATGAATAAGGCTATGGAACAGAAAGCACAAGCCTGTGTGTACCAATACAAAGAAATCTATTTGCAGCACAGTGGAGCACAGGTCACTTTGAAGTCATTAGCATACTGAATTACCAAATAGCTCCATCTAAGGCCCTTCAGTTGTCATTAGAACACATTTCCCAAGCTATCACATTTTCCTCCTTGAAATCTGCCTGTAAAGCTCATGTTTGCTTGCTTTCTATTAAGTCTTCTGTAGAAGCAGGACCATCAACATTTCTTGTCATGTTTGTTCTACGCATCACTTCTGAAACAAGTCCTTTAGCAAGAAAGCTAAATATCCAAAATGCCAGCACACACCCAAAACATGGAGACTGAAGATTTTTATAGAGTTTTACAACTATGTGGGACTCTGTTTACCTATATGCCTCTACATTTTTCCTCCCTGAGCTTGAATATGTTAACCTCTGGTCTGGATTATGAGGGGTGGGTAAGTGGCATGAAGTGAGCAGCAAGAATTGAATGCAGCTGTCCATGTATGAATGGAGCTACCCACAGTGGGGAAGACAATGAAAGGAAAGAAAAAAAGTGGATTCCAGAAGCAAATGGCCTGTGGGGCCAGTTCCACTTGCTTCACACTGATTTTGTCTTAAATTTGGCTTGCTCTTGTATATGCCACTTAGATGTTTTGGGAAGACTTCATGTGTAGCAATTACTTCCCTATAAAATTATCAACAGGAGTTTAAGCCTATTTGGACTTGCTGAAGAAGCCATGGAAACAAAGAACAAGTGCTCTGTTCTAACACCGAATCTCTGAATTCAAGGAACTGCAAAACATCTAGTAGGCCACGTTTAAAAAGAGCATGAGAGAATGCAAATGAAGTCTCAGATCCCAAAACCACTATATCTGCTCAATGGCAACAGGTAATAAACAAGTGGTAAGTCCTTCCTAGTGAAGTTCTCCATCCTTATACAACTTTTTATTTTCAGTTCTAACTAAACTAGATCCTAAGTCTCAAGATAAGCAGAGGATTTTTTTTTTTTTTTTGGAGGGGGAGTTATTTAAACTTAGACTTAATTACATATCATTTTCCTATGTACACACAGAAAACATACCCACATAAAAATGGCAGGTTAAATTTTGTATAGGTTTAATGCACTTAAATAATCCAAAAACCACAGTAATGCCTTCAAAAGTTTAAATGCTACTATCATTTAATTTTTTTATATTGTGCAGGAATCAAACGACAGAGATATCTCTGCACTGAACAAACCCAAACTAAGCCCTGAGCAGTTATTGCATCTTCTGGAAACAAAAGTGATTCAAGTTTGCAAGATGAACTGAACAGCAGCTCTGAACTGCAGGATAGTTATTCTAATAAATAACAATTAGCAGTCCTTCGATTTTACTATGCCAGGTTTGTTAACTTTTTTTTTTTTAAATAGCATTTAAAAATAGCCATTTACATCAATTATAATGGCACTTCAGCAGTAGCCAATTGACTGATGCTTATTCATACCCCTCAGCACGCTGGCTATGGATATTTATGAGCAATAGCTATGGCTGGGCGTCTGCTGCTTGTGAAATACTATTGGCTCAACAATTATGTCACGGTTTCCACCTGTTCGTCAAAGTCACAGGGTAGCTGTTGTTTTTCAACTGTGCCAGCTTTATGGCAGCATTAGCCTGTAAGACTGTATTTAGTATTCCCACTCAGACATCCTCTTCATTATGGACCTACAGGTTGGCATAGGAAATTCTTAGGATACAGAAAAAAAATCCTTTTTCAAGGTAATTTTCTACAGAGGTCTCACTGAGAAAAGCTCAGACAATACTAAATTAACATGGCATACCATATTTGATTTTGGAAACAAAAAAGCCAAATACATCTTCTTGCAGTCAGGCAGTGATATTCTCACTGCAAAGTGGCTGCAGGCATGGGGCTTCTTAGTCCAAAATTGGTACTCCATACACAAAAATTCATTCTCTTCCATCTGACTCCATTCATATACTCATCTTCTGAATTTTCTCTCTTGCTCAGTTTTTCCTTCAAGCCAGCTAGAAGTAACAGTTCTTAGTGCCCCTGCCCAGTGCTGCATCTCCTGCTTTCTCTGGTTCTAGCTGCACAAACTCAGATGGACTGCTTTCTCCCACCAGTGTTTTCTCTATTTCCTTTTCAAAGGTGCCACATTACAACATGGTGTTTTATCAAACTCCCCAAACTGCAAACAGTATTCCCAATCTGGTAGCAGGTTTGAGAACCTTCATGTTTTTGGTGTGAGACACTCTCACAGAAAGAAATGCTGCCAAGCAAGACAAATTACCCTTAGTGCAACATGGCTGTCCTCTCGGCACAAAGCACTTGATACCTAGCAATCTAATCCGTGTGCTTATAAGCACCTCTGATGCCATTTTCACTCTAAGACAGTCTTCAGCAATAACACATTCCTCCAAAACAAAGCATACAGACCTCCAATACTCTGGTAGAAGAGCACAAAGGTTGCAACATGATCTGTTTTATACCTATCCTGTAATGAGTCCAGCAAACTACAACAGAGAAAGCAAAACCATTACAGAACCAGAGGCAACTAAAAAGTTAGGAGGTTCACAAACTGCAGATTTGTCCTTTCCAAGCAACAGAATCCTCATTGGACCAGAATCACATTTCTATTTTCTCTTGGGATACATAAATCTAAAAATAGTTTCTGACAAGGGGAAAGCTACAGAGCTAGTGACTGGCAGATACCCACATTTTGCCTTAGGCACTAGTGCAAGGAAAGCAGAGTGAAAGCGAGCGTGAGCACACATGGTCAGGGATGCAACCATAATACATGGATTGTTGAATAGCATGTGGACTATTTCCACAAAGATCTGCAGTGTTCACCAGCAAATAATGTAAAAGAAAATGAATAAGAAAAGAGCTAAGGGTTCAAATATACAAAGTGTTCCTGGCTTAGTCTTATGTGGGACCGCGTTCTGCTAGCCTACATGCTCTTTTTAAAATTAGGCACTGCAAAAGCTTCTTTGTTTTGACTTCACTGGCTAGAAAAATATAGATGTTTTAGAGTTTCCTAGTATGCATGCACTACAAGAAAAGAAAGGTGAAAAAAATTCCCAATTTGCTGTCCGGTGCATCTGGATTTATTTTTTTGAACCAGTCTGTTTATGTAGTGAAAAAATTTTTTTCATAACATTAAATGACAATTGAGAGAAATTTGTGTCTTTCAAGACTTACATGTACAGTATAATATTCTGCCCCTTTTGTTTTAAGGAGTGCTATGGGCTGGCCAGCAATATTACCTTTCTCATTTCAACTCAGGTTGAAAGCAGTTAAAAACAGCGAGGTACAGGGCCAAGTAAAGGAAGGGAAGCCAAAAACGGTAATGCATGGTGTTAGTAAGAAACTGAACAGCTAGTTCTGAATTCCTGGGGGGGAAAAAAAGTGGTGAGCACTTAAAAAATATGAAAAAAATACTGTCTTTTCCAGGCTCTGAACTTCCACAGAATGCAAGAAGTAGACCATAAGTCACCCGTGGTCTACATTCCTGTTCTAGCAAAACTAATTCTTGTTCTACCAAGAACCAATCATCATAGATCTGAATCTTTGTGCTTTAGTGGGATACAAGTGACAATGTATTTTCTAATATCAGGAAAATGTGACATTACATATTAATTACTAGACAGTTCCAGCTATTAGTTTTACACAAACATGACTTTTGCAGCAGAGTAACTGCAGTGTTACTAAAATAGCAGTGATACCAGATCTTGTTAGCTGTTGCAAAACACTGAAATCTACTTCCCAGCCTACAAACATTTAGACTCCTTAGAGGAATTAAGAAGTATGTACGCCAAACAGACTTTCCAGCCTGTAAATGAACTTCAGAAAAAAGGTTAGTACAAGGATATTTTCATTTCAGAAACTACAGTATCTAAGGAATGTTTTAGCATAAGGCTTGACAACACACTGCTAAAACTTTTTGATGGGTTGGAAAAAGTTAGGCCAGTAAAACTCACGTGACTGTAGCAAGCAGTTTGAAATGCAGCAACAGATCTATACTGAAAATTAATGCAACCATTCAAAGCACCAAAGCAGAAAAAGGCCCCTAAGCAAAGTTTCTATCCTGTAACAGCCTATCCATTCCATTAATTAGCCAATGTTTTACACTAATTCACTGAAATGCAAAACAATTTACTGGTATATTGATTGCACTTATTTTATAGTGCAGCTCTTCGTGCGCTGGTATCCCCATCAGCATGGTAAAGATACCTGGAATAGATGGAATTATATTATTGAAAATCTTTCATAAAAAGATGAAACACATTGAGCAATTAAGATACAATGTAAAACAACTTCCCTTTATTCGCATTTCCTGATCCTGGTCTTCACTGTACAAATAACCTGCTGTGCAAAATAGTTTATAAAATACTAAAAAAAGCTTTTATTGTAAAAAAATAAAGTTTCTAGATATACAGTTACTTTGCACTATCACAAATATTGTCCAGTATTTAACATTTAAATTTAATATCACAATACTCAAGTAATGTAAACCAATGATCCTACTGGTAAGAAAGCCACTACTGAAACTCAGGTTCACTAGGGATTTGTTAAGTATTTTCCTCTTTTCCTATGTACACCCTTACAAAACTCTGAAGACCCATACTTGGAATTTCACCCATATCATGAAATCAGGCATTGGGCCATCCTCTTCTCCATCATCAGGTAAAAAAATACCAAGTTTAATGGTAAATTTAGCAAATGGCAAATTTTAGTAAATCCTGGCAACACATGAGCTACACAGTGCAGTCACAGAACACCAAACGTCCCCGAAACTAGATTTAAACTTTGCTGAGAAGCAGTGTAAAGGCAGCCTACACTGGGTTCTGGGCATGCGTATCTTGATTTCTACCAGTATCCAAGCTAGTTGGCTTAAAAACTAGCTCTGAGCTCTCTAGGCTGCAGTGCAATCGCAATCACTTTAGCATGAAATGGCTCTAAGAAGTTTTGATACAGTCACCTGAGCCCTCATTGTTCCAATTCACTTTCATTCTGCAAGGTCTTCATAGCTAAACCCCAGAGGGTCATGCTGGAGAAGAACGGTCCTTCGTTATTCTTGTATGCAGCAGATGTTCGACTGCTGAGTGGATCATTACAATGACTGTCCAAGCTAACCATAGAAGGACGAATCATGGGAATATTATCAGACTGTAAGGGTTCTTCTGCAGAAGATACATCTACATCTCCATAAGCATATGGTGGTGGAGGAGGAGTTTGCTGTGTCTGAGCTTTTGGGAGTTTAGCAGAGTCCACATTCAGTTTCTGTTGGTTTGCTGAGTCATGGTGTTGAATCATTGATCGCAACTTACAGTAAGAATCCGCAGAACTATCAAATTCAGTTGAATTTGCAGTTGAACGAATGGGAAATTTAACAGACACTGGTAACAATGTAACAGATATTTCTTGGCCAAAAGAGTCAGAACTCTGAGATTTGTCAAGGTCAGAAGTTTCAATCCCTTGAGTAAATTCATCTAGTGTGTTTGGACTTTCATCAGTGGCTTTACAATGCATTTTCTTGTGCCGCCGTAGAACAGCAGAGCGAGTAAAGCATTTGTTACAAGTTTCACAGGTATAGGGTTTTTCTCCCGTATGAGTCCTCACATGTCTACGCAGGTCACCAGAGCCTGCAAAACATTTCCCTACAAGACAGAAGTGATAGATTAAGATTTTGTTCTTAACACAAGTGCATAAACATCTTTTAATTAGAGAAAATATCAAGTGATAAGTGATAAGGTATGGCATGTCCCAATCGTGGTACTTTCGTTTATCTAGAACTGGTTCAAACAAGGTCCATCTATTTTTACAATTCAATGACTTGTTTCTCCTTCGTGATCTGAGTTTCTAATTTGTGTTTCCCAGTGCTTTAGTTTTTGTCTCCAGAGATGGGAATGTCCATTAGTATTTGAAAGTTGTGAGTGCTCTCAGTTTGTTATCAATCTTCAAGGAGGAAAAAAATTTTACAATAATCAATTTAATTCGTCTGTCTGGAAAAACATTCGTCTGTCTGGAAAAATATATTCTTCCAGTGAGAACTGCATCATAGAAAGTAATGGTTTGTTCATTACCAAGGAACTACTCTTAAAGTGCTGACAAAGTTAGCTTTTTTGCTAACTTTGAGCAGCCAATTTTTTATATTCCAGCCAGAGAAGGCGTCAAAACTGTAATTTTTTATCGCTGTAAATATAAGAATACAATAAAATAGTCAACTGTTTGCCTATTTTCAGAACCACAGGCTCAAGTAAGCTCACTTACCACAGTGCAAAGAAAAAAGTGTCTGAGGCTGAACCAAGGCAAAGTGTAGAAGAACAAGCAGAACAAGAAAGCATTAACTTGCAGAATTGCTACATGATTCAGACCCCTCATACCCTTTAAGATGGTAGAAATAAGCTGATACCTATTTGTGATTTTATCTCATTTTACCTAGGTTAAAGTTTATTTTATTTTGTGTGGACAGATACCAACTAAAATGACCTATATTATCTGAAAGCCCAGTAAAACTGTAGTCTCAATTTTTGGCATCATACTTTTTATTCTACTGCCCAGATTTCTCTTCAGAAAAGCCATTAAACAGTAACCTTAAGATTACAAATTACTGGGATAAAACCTGTGGATTTTTTGCAGAATGTGAATGATTTCTTAATGCTCGATCAGATCCTCTTTGCACAATTTTTGCATTCGTAGTACAATATGACCTGGCTAAAATGAAAAATAATCAAAAGACCACTACAAGACAAGATGAAAATATGCCTATTTTAATGACATCAACACAACTGTTTGTTTATACTTTCATATCCTGCATGTCTATATTTCTTCCTTCTGATGCAAGACCTCCTGATAATATTAGCTTTTCTTGTGCCTCAAGATATTACAAATAAAACATACTGCAGTTGGACATTATCATATGGAGCTACCCGCCTCCAAGGCTAATTCCTCAGAACACGAATGAAATTATACCAAAATAGCACTTAAGGGCAGAAAAGTAAGTAGCATACAGGATGCTAAGTAACATATGAGATAAGGATAGACAATGCAATTTCTGAGAACTATGTTATAAAAGGATGAATCATTGATCAAACAGCCATTTTCAGACTACCTGGAAGTATGACCTATCTAGCAGATTTTGAAAATGAGTGTTCTCTGGTATGAAGCATTGATCAAGTCTTGATTTTATTCCAGAGGTTGCAGCAAAGTAGCAAAAGGTTGCTATTATCAAAGTCCATGGTTGAATGCAGTTAAATCTGTACAGTATTCAACTGGGAAAAAAAAAAGAAGAAAAAAAAGACTCCATCGATAGCCAATGATGCCAAACATAGCTTTCCATCAGAAAGGACTATACTGAAAAGAAATCAATTTTTGAAGAAGCTAGTATCCGTATTTCTCTAGCAAACATGTACGCATACAATGTTGATTCCTCTTATTTCCTTTCTCTATTCTTCAACTGAAATTCACTTTTGAACTTATTTACAACAGCTAAAAGAGTTTAATACACCAAATGAAAGACTATGAAGTATGCAAGACAGAAGATTTTGTGAAAAACTTTTACAACATGGTATTTCAATTTAAAATCATTTTGGTTAATTGTTATTCTGCTGACATAGGAACTTTAACTTGTCATTTAAAAAGCAAAGACACAACCAATCTATCAGTAAATCTTACCACATGCTGAACAGCTGTATGGTCTCTCTCCAGTATGCCTAATTCTGTGCTTTACTAATTTTCGCTGCATGTTGAATGACTTCCCACATTCATCACAGGTAAATACTTTATCTGCTGTGTGGGTCTTTTTGTGCTCCTTTAAATTACTGAAGTTACTGAATCCTAGAAAAATATGACAGACACTGAGATTAAAATGACTCCTCACATTTCAATCAAAAAACCTCAGAGGCAGAAACTTTGGTTCTTACATACCTCTGCCACAGATATCACACAGATGAGGCTTTTCTCCAGAATGAATAATAATATGACGCTGAACATCACCAGAAGCAGCAAATCTGTAACAGAATATAGAAACCCAATTGCTGTCTTTATAAGACCCTTATTCTCCTAAACTGAGCATCATGTGGAAATCAACTATAATGAATGCCTAACGTTCTGAACAAAGATTAAAATCTATAACACAGATAAATGGATGTATTTAAGAAAAACATTTTGAACCTGGCAATGTCCAATTAAATTTATGCTAGAACACCCCCCCAAACCCCTCTTCATCATTAATGTTACTAATTTATTCTGCATTTAACTTAGTTTAAGTACGAATGCTACTCCTAAATTAGTGTATTTTCTGTCATCTGTTAGCAGAAGGCAGAAATATTTAATGCTTTGCTTAAATTAGTCAAGTTTCCCATACTTCATAATTTCCTTAAAATGTAACAAAAATTGTATGACCAAATAATGAAAAAAAATGTGAAAAGGTACAAACCTGCATGATTTATTGTGACTCACACTGTTCAAAATACACACAACAGTATATCCTTAACTGAAAATAACCAATATACAAAAAATTAAGTAAGACCACAGATTATGTATGTGGTGACATGTTTATCTTACTATTGAGACTTGCAACAAGACACTTGCAGACATTTATGTATTTTAATCGCATCAGTACACATTTAAACCCAATGTCTTTTAAACAAAATTGAGCAGCATGCTGCCTTAGCTCTTGGCCCTTAGTTTATCATGAAAATTAAAGAAAACATGAACAAGTTTTATCATGTTAACTTTACCGAGATGAACAATTCTACTCACCTTTTCCCACAGATTTCACAAATGTATGGCTTTTCACCAGAATGCCGACGTAAATGTGTCTGGAGATTACCTGCCTGAAGGGACAGTAATTTAAACATTTAAGTTCAGCTAGCCTCTTGTTGTACACAGATAAGAAGACAATGATGGGAACTATGAGACTGGCTTTTTATTCCTAATTCTAAGGCAGTGAAAACTACAAAGCATGTATGAACTCAAGCATTCCTACCTAGTAAAGATAGACTACCATGTACTTCAAGATCAAATTGCTTATGTATGCAATTATAAATTGCCAAGAACAGGGAAGAAAAAAAAAAAAGCAGCCTGGAATCAAACACTAAGGAAAAAGAAAGACCTATAGTTGAAAACAGATCCAGTTATAAACACAAATTACACTATCTAGATTGCAGTGAAGAAGAAAACTTACTAGTAATATGGTTCATGTTAGCCTCATTTTCCCTGTCCTACAAATAAAATATTGTAACATCAGGATGTCTGAATTTAACTAGGAGGTTAAAAAGTAAAGAATAAACATTTTTCAATCCATAAAATACTCAGAGCCAAGTGCTCCAAACTACAAATATTTACTCGTATCAAAAGAAAACAGAAGTACATAAATTAACAAATGGGATTACTGGTAACTAATTTTTATTACATATCTTTCCTATCCCAATCCTGTAAAAATTATGCTGGTCTAGCAGGCAAACCAGATAATGACTAGACAAAGCCATCTTACTCATTCCGACTTTTTTGTTTATTTGTTTTTAAAGCCACTGGTGCTTCAGAATGGCTAATCCCCTGAGAGTCCAGTTCTCAAAGCACAAGACAAAGCTAGTCTGGATAGAAGAGTTGCAGACGTTCAGTAAATTGCCTGTACGTCCACAGTCAGTTTTTAACCCTTCCATTCTCTCTGATGGGTAACTGCCTGGTTTTATCCAAGTACACTAAAGGACCATTAAGTCCTTTCAATCAGGAAAGACAATTGGGGATGCAAAGATCATCATGTCCTCCTTAGTCACAGTAAGACAACACAAATAAGACCCGTCAGTAATTTCTTCGGACTCCTTTACAATAAATTACCTGTGACGATCAATCACTGTAATCAGAGCTTATAATATACCAGAACTAAAGTATTGCAGACACACACAAACAGACACAGAGGACAATATTAAATGGATCAGCATTTGAACTCGGAGAAAGCTTTCTTTAACCCCTGTGAAGTTTTTCAGACAAGAGGGTGACTCAAGCACTGTTCTCTCAGGCCAAACTTCACAATACTGAAATCCATTCAGAGAGAGGCATTAGGCACCTATTTCTGAGGAAGGAGAAGACTAAATTGACTTCTCCACGGAACAATTTGTGCTTTGCAAAGACAAGGGATTTTATGCAGAGGTGCATTTGAGAGAAACATACAAAAGACAGAACCTTTCCCTCTATCCACATCACAAAACAAACCATATCATAGGCATTTGAAAGTTATTCTGGATAAAGACAAGAGGGTGCATTTGAAGTGCAACAATTATTCTGAAATAGTTCCCATACAAGCATTTTTAACCAGAATAAAGACATTTTCCAGAAAGTAGCAAGTAGATCCATTTCTTTATTACAAGCCTATATCACTTCCTCCTAATGAGGGCAAAAGCTTATTAACTGTGCTGAGACAAAAAAAGGTAAAAACATCAGTAACTTGTGTTCTTCCTAAGCTTTTGAGGTGGTATATAACCTTGGCTAAAGCATAATATGCCATCCCAATGAAAAAGCGTAAAAGGACTTTTGCTAGCATTTCAGTGAAAGAAAAAATAACGCTCAGAAGAATCCCCTTACTGATACTGCTTGCATACCACTCCTCACAAATTTGGAGACTACAGAGATATGCTAGACTTAGTCCATTTGTAACTCGCATGCTTTTAAAGTGAAGGAACTAATGCATATGGTCCCCCAAAAGAAACCCTGCAGAAGGAGGGAGTCAGGAAGTAAAACATGATATCCTGGATCACCAACCAGAGAAGGACCACATACCAACAGGTTGTGTACTAGCAGTAAGGGAAGATGCAGGCTTGGAAGTACAAAATGAACCTTTTTCTCCAAAAATCGAAGACATTTATGGTTATTTGTTCCAGACTATGAGTTGCTGTATCTCAATTTTCCCTGCTTTCTTCATTTTCTGTTTCACATTCCAATACACGGAACATCAGTTACATTCAGCAGGAGCAGACATATTAGCATGCACAACAACTGCACCGCCTCAAAAGCGCAGAACATGAAGGCTTAAGTAAGAAAAGTGTTACTATTTATGTGCCTGCAGACGGAGAAGATCAAGAAGATCAAGATCAAGACCAGAGATGGTCTTTTAAGCAAAAAGTAGATAGCAATTATCCTCGCATCTTACTTTCTGGTAGATGGAATCTTACTTATTTGCACGATTCAAAAGCAAGTACCTCAGAAGTATGCAAGTTCCCTTTCACGACCAGGGAAAGAACTGTAGCACACAAGCTGAATGCTATGGCTCATATTCTGGACATGCGGGTATTGTCCATCAATATACATCTACCTATACCTTCAGGCAAGTGAGGTAACAGGGAGGAGAGGAGAGGGAAGCTGTTTAAAAGTGTTTAATTAAAAGGCAGAAATTTCCAGTTTTCTTTGTTTGCTTTTAGTTAAAGAGAAGCAATGCATGTTGCATGAAGAGTCTGTCATGCCTGTCATACACTCTCGAGTGCGTGAAGCTTTTTTGTTCCCTCTTGCCCACAGTAATGGTACAGAATACTGCTCCATTTGCCAAAAATACCTTTAATGGAATTTGGAAATATCCACTTTCTTCTTTTAATAACTAGAAGTTCAGCCAGCAAAATGAATGAAAATGCATTTTCTTTGCCTAGTAAGCAGACCCAGTTTTGCTCAAAATGGCTTGATAAGCATGATGAAATAGTATTGTTCACTGGATGCAGTGTTATATTAATATTTAGTAACAGAGTGGAGGATGCAACTGCATCAGATTCGTGGGTCAAAGTAGTCCCACTGATGGACTATGAAACTGGAGCAAGAAAAGCACAAACACTGGTGGGTGGGTAGACAAAGACCACGTAATTCTAATCCTTAAACCAGGACCCATAAGAAAGACCAAATTTATTCAATGATAATTATTATTTAATCTTAGTATAAAAATATGCACCTGTCCATTGTCTCCTGTACTCAGGTGCACATATTCCAACCAAGAAAATAGAAAAGAAATAGACATTTAGGAAATGTGAGACAATTAGGCACCAAATTTGTAGAAATACAATTAATTGTTGTACCCTTGGAGAGCAAATTAAGACAGCTAAAGCTTAGGCCCTGTATGCAAGTAGGGAATTTCACAAGAGGTTTTTTTTAAATCATAGCTCAGTTTTGTCACTTCAGACAGACTGTGCTGTTCTTCACATAAGGAAACTGAGCCCAATTATATGGATATAAATTTTTTTATCTGACTCAAAAAAAATCTGCTTAATAATTTATGCCATTTAGGAAGATGAAACTGTATTGCAAATACATTATATAAAATTCTAACCTGTATTTTTTTCAGACACTGTAAAAATGTTATTCACAACATATCTCTAAGCATAAGGCAAAAGAACAGTCTGAGAATGAATGTTCTCTGTATTTCAAATATAGTTGTGGCTCTGTATGGTTAAACATTCATTTGAAGGTAAAATACATAACACATCTACTGAGAGCAGACAGAATCAAAGGTAAAAAATGTATCAAAGAACTCTGAAACATTTAATGCGTTATTTTCAAATAAGACATTTTAATATTTTATCTCCAAAGTGAAGTCTGTCTTTGAACAAAAAATATCTAATCTATAGACTTAAAACCAAGCTTTTTAGAATCAACACACAGATGCATTTCAAGCGTAAGTACCATAATATAAAATATTCCCACCTGTGAGAAGTGTTTCCCACAAATGTTACATTCAAAAGGTTTCTCACCTAAAAGGAGAAGAAACAGAACAGAGAACTTCTAATAGTTGCAATAGAATACAAATGTTTTAAACTGGTACGCTTCCATTTAAAACATGTAATGTAAGAGTAAAAATATCCCCAAAAGGACACTTACCCATCTATTTAAGGGGAAATTCAAGAGGGAAGTACAGCATTTACCATTAAGCTTGTAAGGCATACTTGCTCAGAAACACAATTTATCTTTCAAAACAAGTAGGTAGAAGAGTTTTTATATGAATGGGAGTGTTTTGTAAATTTTTTTTATAATACTTTTTTTTTCCTGAAATGGAAGGGGTACCATACCTCCAGGAAGAAAAGAATAGATGACAAGATCCAACAACAACAACAGCAGCTATGGGAAGTGCACCAGTTTTTCCACTTGTACACACAAAGGCCCACTCTTAAAAAGAATAAGGAATGCAGAGAAGCTAATTTGGAAGGATTCTGTTTTCTCTGTTCAATGTGTACCATACATCTCTGATCAGCACATAGCCATCCACTTCCAGTAAATACATATTTGCCTTCAAATTCTTGTCCTATATAAGAGTAGCTGATAATTAACCCAAGTATTTTGCTTCAAAATTCTGAATTTATACATCTAAAACTGGTATTCTTTAATCTCCAAAAACATATGATCAACTTTAGTAAAAAAAACTAGTGCAGCCCACTTTAGCTTTACAAAATAACTTGACTCTCAATCTAGAATGTGACAGCACTTTAATTCTCTAGCTGTCAATTTGAGACAAATATCTTTTTATAATCATTTTCTCCTCTACAGTATTTCATAAAGGGAATTTTTTTCCCCTGCTTAGTTCTTGGTTTCCTAGTTTTTACACTGTTGATAAAAATCTCTACATCTTCTACAATTTTTAAAACAATAATAATAATACTCAAATACCACTGAATTCAGTGACAGTCAGACTTCTAATGATATTTTCATGAGTCTAACTGTACATTAAAAGGACTTATATAATCTGGCCCACAGGTACAGGAAAGCAAAGTTAATGTAAATCCTTGTGATTTTGAATGCAGATATTTCCAGAAGGAAAAAAGAGATCTTGCAGTGTTTCATCTTGGTGCTGATTCAAAATCTGTCTAAAGATTTTTATTTACTTTTTAAATTATAATTTCCCTGATTTTACAGAACACCTCTTGCCTATTTGCAGCCTTCTCTTCCGGCAAGTATTCTCTACATCAGTATTCTTCCTCCATCCTTGGAAGCGTTACAAGCAACATCTACAATATCCAGGTGTTGAGGTTGCATTTTCCTTCCCTGCTGCCAAATACAGGTGATGTTCTTTCAACATATTTCAGGATCAAGGACTAAATGCAATTCTCTTAGATTTTAAAGCACAGAGTAAACATACATAGTTACGTGGCTTCACAAGATAGCAATCCTGCAGTTAGTCTGACAACTTGAGGCTATATCTACTTTTTCTACTTAATGAAGAATGAAAATCTTATGGCAGTTACAAGAAAGCTTTTATTCAATTAAAGATAAAAATTAAGAAACCAATACTTCAGCTATAAAGACCACTGAGGCTTGATTTCATTATGGCTCTATATTTGCAAAACACTAAAAAAATCTGGTACTGACAACACAAATATAAATGAAACCACAGGGAGCCAGATCTGTGGCAACTGGGAAGGCTTCTGACAACCGTAAAAGCATCAAGGTAATTTGAAATGGAGGATAAAAAACACTTGTAGCAATTTCTTCAGAAATTACTTACACCAAAAAAAAAGTTACTGTTGACACAAAGACAATTATCTGAACAGAAATCCACCCTGAAATAACTAGAGGGGGACGGAGGGAATTGGAGGCTCAAATTTCTCTAAACTATTGTTGCAGGCTGCATGCAGCCTCATTATGTACTGATGTACAAATAGTTGGAGTTTTTTCCCCCATGATAGAGATAAAACAAAAAAGTTTTGTTTGAAAAGAAACATCAAATTGGTTTTTGGAGAACAATTCTGCACCTGCATAAAACTCCAAACCACCAGGCATATCAAGCAGCCTATTCCAAGAAGGAATTCTAGCAGAAATACTATATTACTCGTAGTGTTGTAGTATCCCTCAGGTAAAGTGAAGCTAATTGCTTCCTAGGGCGTATTAGTAAGAGTGCAGGTAGTTAGCTGAAGATGATTCTTCTCTACCTATCACCGGTGAGACCTTATCTGGAGCCTTAAGAAGAGAAGGCAAACAGGAAATCTTATTGCTGTCTACATGCAAGGGGAAGACAGTTGCAACCAGGTTGTTCTTGAAGGTACACAGTGATCGGACAAGAAGCGACAGACCTAAGTGAGATCATGAGAAATTCCGATCAGATATAGGAAAAGAATCTTTTACCCCATGGGGGTAGTCAAACACTGGAACTGGTTGCATGGAGCTTGTGGAATCTCTGTCCTTGGAGATATCCAAAATTTGACTACACAAGGTCATAAGCAAAACAACCCAATCTAATTTGACCTGCCTTGAGCAGAGGATTGGACTAGATGACCTCCAGAGGTCCGTTCTAATCTAAATTATTCTATGACTGTCATTAAATTCCAAACTAAAAACCTTACCTGAGAACACTAATCTTCTCAAAGACCATGGGTGGATCAACAGCAATAGAGAAAATTTGGGGAAAAGTAGTAACTGAACTACAATTAAGACAATGCTTAAACAAACATCCAGGGGACTTTACTTTTGAACCCTTGGACTGCCATGTGTTTTCTATCTTCTGTTGCATCCTTCTTGTTCAACACTCTGCAAGAAGAGATGAAGATAAAGTACATAGTAGTGGGATCAAAGCAGTGGTGTGTCAGCTCCAGAGGAGAAAGGCACAAAGGCAGAAGCGGTGTTCCTGAAGAGATCACAAAGGTAAGGAGCAAGACCCACTAAGGCATGGAACGCAGGCAACTTGCTCAAGCAAAGCGCAGAATGAAAAGGTTGAGGATCAACAGTGCACGACATGACAGTGTAACTCTGCTCCTGTTGTATTACATCCTGCCAAGAGTTCTTTCCACAGGGTTGTTTTTTTGTTTGGGTTTTTTTGACATGTTTCCTGAAAATACTTTTTAAAAAACCCAAAACATTGAATGTTCCTGGACAGGTAAGGACTGTATAAGGGAGATACACTTGCTTCCTTTTTTTCAGACAGGTCAATCTAATAAAAAACAAATTGTAACATTCAGTCAAGTCAAAATATAATAAGCTCTGTTTAGAGATTCCTTTAAATATCCACCAGCAATACAATTAAAACAGCTAGACAACCCATTACAATGACTCGTGTTGAACACAGTATGCCTCTCTGTCACACAGAAAACTCATCAATGCAACCATGCTAACCTGTAAATTCTTTAGCAGGTGTTAGTGTTCAGGGACAAAGAATTTCACATGTCCTTATTCTTGACAACCAGGCCACCACAGCACTTGTGTTGAAAGAGTTGTCATTTGTGGGTTAAAAACTGGTTTGCCAGGGTGAAAGGTCCATTTTAGTAACTTGCTTCCTTCATCTCTTCAGCAAAGCCAGATTTGGAGGACTTTCAGTAAGCACTATGATACTTAAATGCTTGCTAAACCTTTTGCTTAGTTCTAGAAAATGAATGTTTTTAAATAAAATTGACTAGCTAGCACTTTGCTACGCTTTCTGAAGTGGCAGATGAATGCAAATGGCTTTTAACATACACTTACATTACTTAACTACCAGTATACCTAATATTAATGATGCAGATGTGCCCTGTACCTTCAGCTACAGATCCTTCCTATATTAACAACCTACTCACTATCCAGTGCAATTTTCCAAATACTCTTTTTGCACTAGTTGGATATTTAAAAACAAATTAACATGACCCAAAAATAGCAGGCAAACAGACCTAGTCATATTCTTGCCTCCATTTTTCCATCCTCCTCTGATGTGCTTACTATGCGTTAAACTTATGCTCTTAAACTTTGTCAGTTTAGCACATCTATAGAAGAACGTTAATGCCACATTCAGTAGCACTCGAGTCTGGAATTTTCTGAAAACTATTGGAAGAACATGGCGTATGAAAAGCGGCATGGAATTCCTGAATCCAGTGCATACTCAGACTAGTAAAGGAGGACAGCAACAACAAAAAAACCCAAGTCTAGGATCACTTTTCTTACACAATGTATAAAGCTGGCAGGCTGGCAGGCAGCGTTGTGGAATGTAAAACAACATCTACTAGAACTTAAGTGAAGTGGAAGCATGTGTAAATACACAGACCTCAAATAAGAATGAAGAAATTAATTGCAACACACATAAATAACCCTGCAAAGCTACTGCAACCCTTTTCCTCTTTTTTTATTTCCTACACTTGTAAGCATTTGCTGGCCATGCTGCATCTAAAGAAAAAAAATATTTGTAAAACACTTGTATCAGGGGCTATAGTCTCTTTCTTCTAGAAAGCTCAGTACCCAGGCCACTCCCCTGACCTTTAAGTTAGAATACATTAGAAGAGGTAAACTAAACTTTGAACTTCATGTTTTAAGTGGTTTAGCAGACTCAGAAACATACAATAATTAAGTCTATCACTCAGGCAACACACTCTTAAAAAACCAAGTTGTTTGATGGGCACCAAAATTCACAAAATCCAGATTTCTTCCAGTTATGAGATGTCTAAGGAAGGGCAAATTCTAACAGGTTTCTCATAGTTGGGGTCTCTCTTTCACATAGATTCTCAGCACAAACTCACATGTTACTGACTTCAGAGTCTCTCCCTCCCTGTCATTATTCCCTTAATCAGGAATAACGACATCTCAAGGACTTGGAATCAATGGTGTTACTTGACTGGCTAAGGTAATTCTTAAAAACCCTTTTAAAAAAACATATCTAAAGTTGTAGAAATATAATAGAACATGTTGGTTAAATTGAACAGACAAATTTGTTACTTCAAAGTTAGACTAGGTCTTGTTTTTCACTATAGTAAAAAGATACGTAGAAATAAATCTATGCTAGGTTTAAAAATAATATTACCTGTGAGTTTTGAAAACAAAGCGAATTCATTCACAAATCCCATTCATTCTGCAGTCTACTTGTCTACAAGAGCATTACTCTCTAGGTAAACGCAATGAAAGCTGTTCACGCTAGGAAAAAGGTATAAACTAATTATAGAGCATATTTCTACAGGTTAAGAAGAAATGACCACAAAGCCCTAATCACTTGTATCTTACAATGATTATATATGATCAGTGAGAACTGAGGTCATCTACAACACTTGTAGTATCGTCTTCTATCCATTTACACTTTTCATTGTTATCTGACTCAGACTTTGAGACCGTCTGACAAATTGACTAGAAATGCCTCTTCTAAATGCAAGACAAAAATAAAATTTTCATTGAAATATCACACAACGTTCTTTGAAAAAGAACCCTAAAAACCAAGTATGAAGGAGAAATCTTTACTACAACTCTCAGCTAAACTCAGTCTTACAGTCTTCATTCCTGTATGATTACTCATTTTTAAAAAAAAAACCACAACCTTTTGAAAGTAGATGCTTAACCAGCATCTCTGAATCAAGCAATACTGCAAGACATCCTCTTGAATTGAAATATTTGGTCTGCAGACCAAGTTATTGAGAACTGTACCTGTATGAGACCTTTTATGGAGCTCCAAATTGCTTGGATGTTTGAAAGCTTTCCCACATAATTCACAAGTATATTGCCTCTGCGACTGAAGAGTCTGCGATTGCCCTTCTTGTTCCAAAGGACCTTGAGATCTTTCAATTTCAACAGTTTGTTCAAAATTCTCAGAATTCTCTAAATCTTCAGCTTCTTTTTCATCAGTAACTCTAACATTTGTCACGTCCATGGTACTTTCATTTACAGATTCAATTACTCCTGTTATTCTACTGTCATCTCTTTTAGGCTCAGGCGGCTGCTCTGCAGATTTCTGAGATCTTAGAAAATTTAACTTTTTGAGGTGTATTGCCTTTTTCAGCCGCATCTGTTTGGTGGGCTGCATAAGCGTGCTTTCTGCATCTTGGTCTGGAGCAGCTTCGTTCACAGACTGAACCAGAAAGTTTGATGGTAAATGATCAGAGGTTTCCAGAATACACTCAGAGTGATTGACAGTACAAGAACTATTCTCTACTGTGTTTATTTCTGTAGACGTGTTGTAAGAAAAGGATTGTTCTGCTCCTCTCTCATTATTAGAGCAAGCATTTTGCTTATAGAACTGTTTACTGTAAAAGTTGCGTAGTTTATAATAGTAATTGGGTTGTTTAAATGGAAGCTCTGTGCAGTTGCCATCTAAGGAGTCTTGTGGTTGTTTCTCTACATCACTTGAGGGTGCGTGAAGATTAACAGACTGCGATGCATGAGAATGGTGGTCAGCCAAGACTTTATTAGCTTGTGTGTCAGATGAGCATTCATGCAATAGGTTTGTTCCATAACTGTCATTGGCACAGCCAGTATCTGCAGTCAAAGTATTCTGCAGCGAAAATACGCTATTACAAGGCATGCTGGCTGTTTGCTCTACAGCTGTAGAAGCTTTTAAAAAGGTGTGGCAAATGTTCAGCACATTTTGCACTTGGAGACACTGTGCAATATCCAACATAGCTTGTACATTGTCCTGGCTAAGATCCAGGTGAGAGGTGTACATAAAGTCCAAGATCTGGCCTATGCCACCTACATTTTTAATGTCCAAGTGAAAGACATCATTCTTCTGGCCTGAAGAATTCTGGAAAAGGGTCCTGATAAAATAAGGCAAATATTCAAATACAAACACAAATAATTCACAAATACTTTTATAAAAGAACACACATACACCTCAAACAGACTGCCTGGTATGAAACAACAATTTGTACTATATGATTTTATCTAGATTGCTGTGTTTTTGCAGATGAACATCTCTAAACTGCTCAATTACTTGTCTTACACATCAGTCCTACACTAGTACACTTAAAGTATAAATCAAAGCAAATGAACCTTTATATAACTTTAATTTTCTATTTTTTAATGTTTTGAAATCACATCCTATACTTGTGGTTTCCTGTCCAATACTCTTTACATATTAGGTGCAGTGGTGTATTTATGGACTATTTGCAAAAGTTGGTTGACTCAGAGTGGTGTTTCTCCTTCCATTATGGCAAATAAAACAGGACACAAGAAATTTTCTAGTAAAAAGGAAAAGACAGACCTCAAAGTCAGCTAAACTATTCTCTTCTGGCAACGGAGCTTGTCCCTCAAACTTTATCAGTAAACCTTATTAAAGTTCTTATTATTAGTTCTTTCTCCACAAGCAGATGAGAGGATGGTAATAGTAAACAAGAGGATGGCATTATTTTCAATCTATTCTCTCATATCTAAAAAAGTACTTTTTTTACTGGTACTGGATGAGAACCAAGTAAAAGAATAATGAGGAGTACAGGTACATAAGCCTAAAACAGCAGTCCAACCAATACCCACTGAATTGTCATTGAATCCTTAAAGTGTCTGAATTCCCAAGACTTCTTACTATTTGATGTAAAGTTATTAGCATCAGAGCTGTAGCTCTTCACATGTATAACCAGTCCTAGATTAAGTGGGTTCGTACTCTGCCTCAGTCAGGAACTTCACACCCTTCCATTAAAAGCCCTAGTCTCTAACCTGATAATCTCACAGTAATGACCTATATACGCAAATTTTATTTGAGCCCTTATCTGGCTCTGTTCATGTACTCTACTACAGTCCTTGTCTTTTAATACTGAAGTCCTGAATGCAGGTCCATGCCAGAATCCATTATATGAGGCACCATGAGCAAATAAGGATCAAGAAAATGCCAAACTCAAACAGTGTAGTAGTTAACTATGTGTATCTAGAAAATAAATTAGGATGGCCACAGTTTTTAATTAGATTAAATACTTGATACATATTTATCTCTGGACAAACAATTTAACTTTTACCCTTACGCTCCAACAGTTACTTAGTCTGCAACTAACAAAAAAAAATACCTTTCTCAGAGAAACCCTCAATCAACAGCATTTAGTTCACTTTTTAAAACAAAGAATTTTCTATCACATACCTGAAATATTGACTGAAAGCAGCTAATACATTTTTGTGTGCTTTGAAGCAGACACCTTTTACCACCAGCATGCAGTCACAGAGAAGACCCTGAATGCGCTGTTCATGTAGCTGCTGGAGAAGATGACAACTATGGCTAGCAACAGCATCCATGCTAGAAAATCACTTAAATTACCTACAATGAAATAAAATGCTAAGATGAATTTTAAGTATTAAATTGCAAAATTAATTTAGAATATGAAGAACATTTTTACAATTTGTTTTAGCTCCCAAAGGAAACAGACTTCAGTTTACACTTGCAATGTGAGCTCTAATGACATTCTTCTGATTAAAGATGAGTCACAGTATTGCTCACCAGTAGATATACAGTAATATACGTAGGAAATACCGATTCTAACAAAGTTTTGCTTACAACAAAGAGCTTCTAGAAAAATGTGCTAATGGTGCTGCCAATAAACTGAACTCCATAACCACAAAACCCCCCAATTTAGACAACTTCGACAAGAATTAGATTCTAAGGCAAAAACATATCACATCTACAAAATCAATAGCATTTGTAGAGGAAAACCTCAGTTTCTTCACCCTGTAAACTGAAAAGGGAGAACAATGTAGTAGCATTATTTATGCCATGTTTGTTGCTGTTGTAGCTAAGCACATTTCCCATATGAATCTGATTCATTACACAAGTTAGTATGGTAATTTTTTTTTTTTAATTTAATGCAATGTAAAGTGTCTTTTACAAATCACTTCTTCGAACAGGTTGAAGGGAAGACAAGTAACATTCCCACACAACACATTTACATTTAATTGTATACTTCCTTTTTTTTTTTTTTTGAAGAAAGCTGAAACTCCTTCCCTGTGCACTTGTAAATATGGAAGGAAAACTCCAACTGTTAGGAAAATCAGAACTACTAGTCTAACTGATGAATGAAGCAGAAAGCCCACCTTGGGTTAAACATGACAAGAAAGTGGTTGCCCCCATTCTCAACTCTCATGAGTGCTAAAGGCTCCACATTTTAATGTATTCTGTTACTCTGTGGTTCACTGCTGCTTGTTGTATTAAGGTGGGCTATTACATTGTCCTGTTTTCCTACTTATTCTTATCGCGTCTTTTACCGGGCTTTAAGATAAAGAAGCCACATCTGTTTGCCAGATAATTCCTTTCCTTGCGTACGTCTCCCACCACAGCATCTAACAACCTGTGAACTCAGCCTCTCTCAGCCACCGGGTGCTCGTCTCCCAAAGGAAAAGGCGAGCACGCTGGCTGCTCCCGAGCAAGAGGAATCCCGGCAACAGAGCCGCTCTTTATGCTTAAACTGCCCTTTCGAGCTCCCCTCAGCCTTGCCGGGCTCGAGGCGTAGCACGGAGAAGGGGGGGGCCGAGGAAGGGTTTGCCCCAGAAGACGAGACCGGGGCACGGAGGGGAGGGCGGGCTCTGCCCCGAGAGCAGGCGGCACCGCGGGAAGGCGTCGAGAGGCCGCAGGCGGAGCAGGGCGGGCAAGGGGCCGGTCGCGGGCCGGGGGACGGGGCTGAGGGCAGGCCGAGCGCC